TGATGTTTGATTGCCATGGCCTGACTTGTTCAGTATTGTTGACAGAGGAATCAATGCAGTGACAAACAGTAGTGGGGATAGTGAGTCTCCTTGACAGATTCCTCTCTTGATGTTAACGTCTCCCAGTCTATCACCATTGACCAGCAGCTGTGTCTTCATTGTGCCATTGAGTTTTGCACACAGTTTCTGATGTTTCTACTGACTCCTGTTATTTCTAGGCACTTGATTATCCAGTCATGTTACAGGGAGTCAAATAATAATAATTATTTGTAGTACTATTAGTTAATGTAGTATTTAGTAAATTATTTTCATATAATAAATGTTTGGGGGTCAATGAACAATCAGAAACTTCATGAAAGGATTGATGAGCTGAAGAATTTGGGGACCCCTGCTATAACCTATTATGGGAGTTTTCAAACTTTGTGGTACTGTGACTCCTTAAAATAAATGTGAGTGTGCTGTTTTTAACAGTGGTTACACAATGCGATGAGTTTGGTGCATTATTGTGAGGGGGAAGGAGTCTCTGTTGTATTGCCATGGGATAGGAGTCAAACTCCACAAGTCCTGTTCTTCCTGCCTGCTTACTTGCCAATTTTCCTGGCCAGCCCACAATCTGAAATCTCTCCAATGCTTTGGGACGCCTACTGAGACTTCGATACAAAGCTCATTTTATTAGATTAGTATCAAGGTTAAAAACCTCAATGAAACCAATGTGGTTTGCTTGCTTGGTCTATGGCATAAACAAAGGAACAGCCACAGTTTGTAGAGTGCAGGAATCTGGTTTCATTTCTGAGAAAAACTTCCCTGCAAATGATTAAAAAGTATTCAGAAAACAAATAGCATGGGTGGGGTGGCTGAACAGGTTTCTTGCTTTAGGCACCTTTCAGTAAGGAACCGGTTCTGATTTTTTTCCATAAGCCGAGATGTTCAATATGTATTCCTTTCATTAAGAACGTAACAGCCTGGCTAGATCAAACCGGTATACTGTCAGCCAGGGGCCCACAGAGGCATCTTCAGCTAGCCACGATGATGCAAAAAAGATGGAACACACACATTGGCATCACAGTGCGAACCTGCCCCTTCACTCTTACCTACCATTATTGGACACGAGTCCGTAAGTTACAGGGTTTGAGTTGTGCCATCATGCCACATTTTTTTCTTGTACTCCACTTTGTAGACCCCTATGGTGGCCAATCACTTATCTTCAGGAAATTATTTCTCTCCGCTGTTAATATACAAGGCAAGGCTGCTTCTGGTTCCAGAAGTAGCAAAGACCCCTGAAGACGTGGGTCGACTGATCCTCCATGAATTTGCTCAGCCCCCTTTTAAAACCATCTAATTCAGTGTGGTCCAAACTTGGCCACTTTAAGATGAGTGGACTTCAACTCCCAGAATTCCCCAGCCAGCCATGCAGATGC